TTTATTACTCATTTCTGTACAAGTGAAGCAGAGAAAGTACAGGAAGATATTTTCAACTTAGTGACTGCTTCGCCATTATTTTATGTCATATAATTTATTGCTATCAGTGATATTGGTTTTTTTGTTGCTGTTTCACTGGGCTAGTTTTTTAGTACTTTTGTTGTTTAAGTTCAATAAAAAAATTTTTATATCAGACGGTATCAGTGGAAAAATTGTTTGGAATTTATAACACTTTCAATCATTTTTGTATACTTTTTATTGGTAAGCTGTTGTTGTTGATTTCGAAACTGTTTATTTGATGCTGACCTGCGAATGATGAAGATGAATGTTTAAAAGGCTAAACTAAGTGTCTAGTTATCTATTAATAGGCTCTTATTTTTAAACTATTGTCGAATCTATGAGCAGTGGATAAAATTTATTTGCAAACTGTTCATAACATTTACCAATGTTTTTCTTTGTCGTCATTTTTTTTTCTTTTTTAGGTGGTGGTAAGGAGACAAACTGATACTTCTTTTGTAAACAAACAAACAGGGTTGTTTGTTGAATAATTTATCATATTTAAGTAGGAATGGAATTTTGAAAATTGAAAGAGAAAGTTCGTTTTTTTTTTTGTAAGTTGAATAGGTGCGTTGAGTAGGTTGGAAGGGAGGTTAATTTTACTTGTCTTTTTTTTTTCACTTTTATTTATATGCAAACATTGTATGCAATTAGGGGTATTTATTTTTCAATCTTTGGTCAGTTTTCATACATAGGTTAGAATTTTTTTCTTATCACTCTTGTTGAAATATTAGTGATGTTTTTGTTGCTGTTGCTGTTGTTGTTTCTGTACGATATATCAAAGAAAAAAAAACTGAAAACAAGAGAAAAAGACAGAAATTACTGCCTTTGATTTGTCTGTGTTTTCATTTTTTGTAAAAAAGAAGGAGAGAGGTGAAAGGAGGGGTAGGGGGTGGGGAGTAGTGGCTATGATGATGCTGAAAGTTTTTATACTATTTCAATGAATTATTTTTTTCAATATATAACCCATTCTGCAGTTAACTCTGACTAGACTCATAATTTTGCTTCTTGTTCTAGTTTTTTTTTTCAATTGTTGTTGGTTATGCTGATGCTATGGCTGACTAGATGAGAAAAACTGTGCAAGGATGGTGAGTTGGGAAAGTGAGGTGCAGGTTGAAAATATGGAGGAAGAGTAGGATATGGGGGGAGTAAGGAAGGGAGGAAGGCAGCAAATTAGCAAGAAAATGACGGGAAAAAGAGAGCCGAGTGCAGTGAGATGTTTGTTGAGTGAATAAACCTATTTTTTTTAATTTTTTACACATATTTTTTAGAGTATTATGCAGAAATTTGAACTCAGCTGTTTCCCACAAGCCGTGTTCTTTTTATATCTGCAATTGTTCTTTCTCGTTAATTAAACAGTTTTGGTACAATTTTTTCTGTTTTTCTGTGTGTATTTGTATTTATGTGGGTATATGTGTGTACAACTGTGATCTGTGTTGATCCGAAGAGGAAGTTTTTTTTCAGGGTGATTTCCTACTACGTCTTTGCAGTTGCTATGATAATTTTTTTGGCTGCTGAAATTAAGTTTTTTTTCCTTCCAGTTTGACGAATACAACTTTTTTATTTGGCAGATTGTATTTGGTATCATATTTGAAGGTTGTATTCATTTGTATTTCTTGAAAGAGAGTTGAAACAAGGAGGAATCGGGTTGGAAAAGAAGAGCAATGGCAGAAAAGGTCAGGTTTTCTGAAACTGTCTAACACGTAGTATTTGCCTTTAAAACATTTTTTGGAAAAAAAAAGAAGTGACCAACAGAAAACGTCAGTTTACACAATTTGTAGTAAACCGTAAAGGATTTTTTTTTGTTGTTGTGGTTTTGTTTTGATATTTTCAACAGATATCTGTAGGTTAGTGTATTGGTTTTCGATTTATCATTATATCTTTCCACTACCCTCAGAGAAAAAATACACCCGAAAATACTGTACGGTATAAACAAATGAACGTTATAGCCGAACAAAAAAAAATTGCCTTCGGTTTTCAAGCTTCATTTATTTGGTTGTCGTAAATTTGATTCAATAGAATCTTTGTATAAAAGCGAGAAAAAAAGCAAAAAAAACAGCAAAAAATAGGCGAAACAAAAACAAAATTTAAAAAAGAACGAAATGGCGTTGGAAGGGAAACAGAATGATGTATGTTTGTGTTGTAAAAAGGAACGGATGAAGCAACAAGAGTAGAATTTGTAAATATCAACAAATGATTTATTGTGTGTACCATAGAAGGACTTGGACGGGAGTTGGGGGGTGGGGGTGGTGGGGAGGGGGGCAAAAAGAAGGTGGGTGCTCTTTTTTTTTCTCTTACTGTTTCTGATGGCGTGTGTTTTTGTTTCGTGCTGTTTTACCAAAGTAGTGAACGTTTCAGCAGAGTAATGAATGCGTGTGTGTGTCGAATGTTCAGACTATATATGACAACGGCGATTATTTGTTGCTTGTGTTCAGAAAAAAAGCGTGTCGTCTAAATACGTGTGTAAAATATATGTTATGTTGAATGAGTTACTTTTTTTTCTTTTTTTCGGATATAGAGCATAAATTAGGAGTTCAGTCTAAGTGCTAGTTTGGTGTATAGCTGTCAATGATGATGACGATAATGCTGCTGATGGTAGTGATGATGGCGGCTATAGCGGTAGTGGCGCTGGTAACGTTGCTTAACGGCAAGTTTATTTAGGTTTGTTTAATCTTGTAGGAGAGCTTTCGTCTTTTTTCTTTTTCAAAAGAATTCCTTCTTTTTGCTTTCTTTTGTTCGCATTGTTGATGGTAATTTTTTCCATTTGTTGTTGCCATTTTTTTGCCTTGCTTTTTCTTTTGCTCTAGTTTTTCAATTTCTTGACTTAACTTTCGTCTAGTTGTTGTTGTAGTTAGTGCTGCTACTGCTACTGCTAGTGCTGTTGCTGTTGCTGCTGTTTTTTCTATATTATTTTAGGGAGTTTTTTTGGATGGAAAGAGAGATGAAATTTTTTTGTTGATTGAGGAAGAGGGAGAGATAGAAGTGGAGGAGAAGGAGAAGGTGGAGGAGGCGAAAAGCAAAAGAGGAAGGTGATAGACCGGGAAGAGAAAGGTATTGGTGAATAAAAGGAAAAAATATTTTATCAGAATTAGTTTATTTGTTTTAAAACTATTTCTTGACAAATGTCTTCCGTTCTCTTTTTTATGTACGTGTGTTTTTTTGATTTCACATCAGAATTTTTCTTCTTTTATTTATCTGTTTTTTTTTCTTTTTTGTTGCTTTTCTGCCTTCTTTTGTGAATCTGTTGTTATTGTTGTAGTTGTTGGCAGTCGAATAAAAAGCGTTGTTTCTTCTTTTTTGAACTTTTTTTGCTGTCACCAATGCCGCTACTGTTTTAATATAAAACTAATGAATAATGAGAGGGAAGGAGGAGGCTTGAGAGGGGGAGGAAGGAAAGAAGAGGAAGAAAGCACTGAGAAGGCGAGGATAATGGCGATGAAGAAGAAAAAGTAAAAAGGCCAAAGCATTAAAGAGTCCTCGAAACATTAAACGATGTGATGTTTCAGTTGATCTTTTATAATTCATCATATTTAATGGTTCTGTTCTGCTCTGTTCTTTTCAATTTTTCTTTTTTTCTTTCTTTTTTTTGTTCGAAAAAATTCATCAAAAAAGGTTATTTTTTTTGGGATGTTTGCTTGTGTGTATGTCGATGTGTTTTTTTTTCTTTGAACAAATTTTAGTGTTTTTTTTGCAAATGGCTGGCTTATGTGTTTTTAAAATATTTAAACGGGAAAACAAAATGTGTTATACCTAAAAAAAGAAATAAGAGTAGAAAGCAAGCGAAAAAAAAACGAGGAGAAGAAGAAAAAGCACGAAGCACCATGGATGGAGGGATGGCTGAGAGGAGCAAAGAAAAGGGATTTTTTTTTGCAAGAATCAAAAATGAACATACGGAATAGTGGATGGGTGGGAAAGAACAGAGTTAAAATAAAAGCAAAAGAAAAAAACCTTTTTTCTTTTATTTCTTTCATTCAAATGCGTCAATTATGCTGTCAAGAAATTTTATCATACTGATTTGTTGACGAAAAATTTAAGCAGACAAAGTGTTGGGGTAGGAAGAAGCAAGAGGAAGAAAAGTGGAAAAAATCTTGTATAATTTTTTCCACTTTTTTTCTCCTTTTTTGACTAAATAAATACTTGTCGTCAGTTCAGTGCTAAGATCTATTTAATTAAACGTGAAAATATTTTGCTCTTCAACTACTTTCCTTCTTGATCTTAACACCATTAAAATATGTTTTTCAATTATCCATCAGCGTTGTTTTCAGTGTCACCTAAATGGTGGTTGCTTGTGGCCTGTCGAGATTTCTTCTTCTTTTTTGAGTTGTACATTTGGATAAATATGGAATTAAAAACCACGCGATTATTGATCTTTGTTGTGCAGGCGGACGGGAAGCTGGTGAAAGAGGGAGATGGGGGTGGGGAGGGAGATGAGGAGGAGGAGGAGGAGGGAGTGAGGGAGGATGAAAGGCGGAAAAATGAAAAGACAGGATGCCGACGTTGATGGACAGACAGTTCAGGGAGGATGAGGAGAGGCGTCGGGAGGGAGATGGAGGAAAAAGGAAGGAAAGGGTCGAGGCGAGGAAAGGGTGCGTAGAGGAGGAGGAAGCTGAGTTGTCGTGGATATGTGTTGGATATGCGGGAAATCGCTTAGTTGGTTGGTTAGCTGTCAGTTAGCGTCGTTTGGTGGGATTGTTTTGGGTGGTCAACTGCACAGAGTTTCTTTTCTTTCAAATTCATTTGAATAAGTTTTTCAACCTACAATTTTCTACAGTTACTTTTTTTTTCTCCTTCCAATGC